TGAAAAAATATCAGAAATATATAATACAGAACACTCAACAATCGATGGCCCAAACAAAAAGAATCGCTATCGCTTAAAGAAATATTATCCATTTCTTTTCTCACTCGCAGTCGCATTCATGACCGAGAGACCCCAAGATACGCACAATAGCTCGTTCGCATGTAAAGACTGACGAAGAGGCGGGCTTATCCCCCCCACTCTTAAAATCAATTTTACCAATATTTCTCGCTTATTTTTGCAAATACAAAGATACATTTTACAACACTTTTTATGAATTTTTTTATTCTACACATCTTTTGTTTGAAACTTTTTTCGATTTAATGCCTAGATTCTAAGGCCGTTTTTTTACCCTTTTTTACCCTTTTTTACCCTTTTTCCCAAAGATCTCCTGATCCAATTGCATAAAAATTAGCACCATTCGATTCAGCGTCGTCGAATTACCATTATATCAAGTTTTTGGCCAAGAAACACAATAAGCTCAGTTTTTCTTTAGTTGAGCGGACGGACTATCAGATGATAATTTCAATCGGTTTCGCTTGATAGCACAGCACACTCTTACGCAACAATGGAGTTGTATTTAGTTTCCTACTTTCTTTTCTTATACATATTATAATATAATAATATACTTTAACCTTTAAGAAATTAAATCTAACAATCTCAACAATAATTGCTACCAGAACACCAGTAACGACGATAGAAACATTAGACATGAATACAAAGATAAACCGATATTCCGAGCGATATCAAGATCCTAGATCCAACAACCTATAACCCTGTTCGGGTTATTTAGCTTTTGTAAAGAATTTATATTTATCGCTGTAGTGCTTCAATAGATGCAACGCTGCCAGCATGCAAGGGCGTGCAGAGCAACAAAGGGATGTAGTGCCTTGGGCCTTGTGGAAGCGTAGGTCACGTACTTACTTCCGTTCTGTACTACTTGTTATTAGGATCGATCGTGCGTAAATACTACTATTAGTATTTTATTATTATATTTTTTTATTGCTATTTTATTATTTATTATTATTATTATTACTAACAAAAATTATCAGAGTAATTTTTGCTGACGTGATACATTAACATGAATTGTAAATACAAGAGACGTTACAATGATAAGTATAAAAACATACATCATTATATTAGCCTAATAAAATTATTAATTAGCCAGATCACGTTTCTTAATCAGAAGAATAGAACCATTTTAGTCTACGTATTAAATCAGTATTTTCCAAAAAATTTTTTACTAAAGAATTCGAATGGTTTGCTAAACGCAACTTGTAGCGTTCATTGAAGTTTGCAATCTCTTCTTTTATTGTAGGAATTCTTAGATCTTTATGGATTCTTTCATTAGTTACATACTCGAGGACATTGCAAATGTTCCGCAGTATTTTTTATTGGAATCGCTGTAAAATTTCGATGTTGAAAAGTCGATCGAGATCGATTCGCCATGGATTGCATATAAGAACCCCACTGAACTAATCTTTGACAAATACAGGAAAAAAGATACCAAAAAAATATTAAAAAAAAAGATACTAAAAAAAAAAATATTTATAATCTACGAATAAATTCTTTAAAACTATATTTGAATTTTTTTTATTTTGTAAAGGATAATATGAATAAACATACCTATGGAATTGGTATAAATTTGACTCGAAATGGTTTAGAGGAGGTCAAAGTCAGATCTAACGCAAATGACAAATCATCTAGTTCATCCACCGGTTCCAATTCAAAATTGTACAATATAAATGCTACAAATAGTTTAAGTTCAATCATTGCAAATCTTTGACCTGCAAAATGAGGAACAGACGTATAAAAAAAAGCAATTTTAGGAAAATTTTAGATTTTCACTTTTGCAAGAAATATTTACCAATGCAGTTTCTTGGCCCCGCACTAAATGGAATGTAGGAATAGGGATGATGTCCTTTTATATTCTCCGGTAAAAATCTTTCCGGATCAAAAACATTTGGATTTGGCCAATATTCTGGACGTCTGTGCAGGCTGAAAATATGCACCTCACAGACAGTACCCGATGGAATTAAATAATGTTCTATAAAATTAATACGATTATATAATGAATAAAATAAAGAATTAATAGGATACGAAAGAAATTAAAGTAAACACATAAATGCATATATTTTCATACTTAGCTGCATATCGTGAGTAATTTGCCGAAAAATTAAAGGAACACTTGGATACAAACGAAGGGATTCTTTCAAACATCTCTCCAAATAAGAAAGTTTTTGAAGTGACGATATTGTTAAATTAGTATCTTCTTGCATAATCGTCCTAACTTCGTCTCTTATCTTTTCCTAAAAAAAATATAGCATTAATTATTAATTTTTTTAAGCTATGAACATTTCTAAAAAAAAATATTTAGAATATTTTTATAATTTCT